AAAAAAAAAAAAAAAAAAGAGAACGTCATAGATGGGCAGAAAGTGTTGGGTGAAAATTTTAAGTCATTGTCTCCTAGAAAAGGTTTTTAAAAAACTGGTTCAAGCTGCAGTTGCATGAATGAATGGCGATGAAATAGACACTACGGTGACATGAGCTGAAATGGCACTGATCTCTACTAGTAGTTTGTTTTCTAGTTGTCATGGTGGCTCCGCTGGATCGAGGGCATTCGCCCCCTTCTCACGCGGTTCATCTCAGATGTCATCAGCTCAGTTGTGACTCTCACCCGCTCAGGCTGAAAATATTGAGATCCTTCATCTACTTTCACACTGCTGAGTCACACCAGACAGCAGGACATTTGTCTCCCACACATCCATTTTCATTAAGGCTCATCTGTAGCACATCATGAAAACAGGTTTGAGGTTGAAGTTCTATACAACCATACATAACGTTCATAATGAGTAAATAATCCAAAATAAAGACCATTTTTTGAAACTATTCCATAAAATCAGCTCATTCAGAAATCAATATGATGTCACAGTCATGAGCTCATTAATATATAAACACCCATATTTACATATTCACTGCCTGTTGAATATTCAGGAGATGTAATTATGGGTGTTTTTGGTCCAAGTCACCTTGAGTAAAACTAAGTGGACTTAAGGTGGAAAAAATGTTGGTGAAGTAGAATATGGCACCTTTAAAGGTGTTGTTAAGCTCCTGCTGGGGCAGATAAAAGCCCCTGGTAGACGCTTTGTGTTTGTGTAGTTATAGTTTGGCCATGTGTGAGATTTACTGCTGACCTCTCTCTGTATCTGTCCTAAATAAGAGATATGACACAGCAGAAACCTCAGTGTAGGCTGTCCAGAATGTCACTGTTCATTTTTCTAATTAATCTGTTTCAAGCTCATATTTTCACGCCAGTTTTTCCTCATGTTTTTCAGATTCTTTTTTTTTAGCAATTAGGCAAGTTCTCATTGAACAAAAATGTTGTTCAGACTCGCCTGGCGTTTGGTTTAATTCAGTCTAAGTGGGCTGTCGTGATTGCATTGAGCACATGTCCTTTAATGGGACGTCAGATAAGGAGCGCTGGCTCGGATCAGGGAGGAAGTGCCAGTTTCAGCACCTCATTGTTCGAGGGCACACTTGATGAAGTGTAGGACTTGCCAGGCAGACTCAGAGGCGGCCAAGACCAGAGGGATGTGTGCTGCTGGAGCTTTTCTCTACCTTCTTGATTAAAGAAGGTTTATTCTAGCATGCATGTGTTTCCAGCTGAAGATAATGAGGAGAAATCTGGATAGATACTGGATAGAAACACCAGTAGAACTAACAATGTTACTGTTTTGGGGGGAAAAAAAACACTTTCTGGTGCAAAAACGGTACTAAGCTCATAAGTGGATTGTAGGTGTAGTGCACCTCAAGATCAAGTTGCTGAATTCTCAATGTACAGTGATATATAAATAGTTATCTAAAAAGTTATCTTTGGAAGATTATGGAAAACATTGATGGGGCATAAAGTGCCTTAATTTTGCATAAAATTGGGTGCCAAGCCAAAACAATACAACCAAGAAAAGTTAACTAGTTTTTCATCCCATTAAATCAGTGGTTCTCAACCTTTTTGACTTTTTTGGAAAAAAAATTTTATATTTATGGTACTTCTTCTGTAACGAGAAAGCTGCTTTTCCCCATTTAATATTATTATTCCCCAAATAAATATTAAAATTATATTCAATTATATTGAAATCAAAATAATTACATTTCTGATTTCAGAACATTCAAGAACTGAATGTTCTTCAAGGTTCAATAATGAATTTATATGGCTTATAATTTTTTTCAATGATTTTTAACCCACAAATAGCAATTCTACTCAAAAATAGTCATTTCTACTCAATAATATATTAATATTATATTTAATGATTTTTTAGAGCTTGACATAAGAAATTTGTATTCATTCTAGAAATGTACATGAATTTTTAGAATTTAAAAAAAAAATGTCATGACTTTTCAAAGTCTAAAAGTCTCACTTTTAAAATTCATTAATATATCCAAAGTTTTCCCAAGACCGCGAGGGTTCTGGTTCTTAACATTTTGGTGGTTTTGTTGTGTTTTTATTTATAAATATTTCTATAAAACAAATTGTATACATTTTTTTTTCCAGCTTTAAATTATTTTAACACCATCAAGTTTTTTTTTTTTTTTTAGTTAGTTAACTCTAATAACCCTGGAATGAAATATGATGACAGTTTTCAGCTCGACTTTTAGCTGTTTTTGTATTATACATGTATTCATGTATAATTTTTTGACCCCCTTAAAAATGTGTTTAAGCCCCGTAGTGGGTCACGACCCCCTGGTTGAGAACAACACTGGTCCCATGTGTTTGTGAGGCAGATATCTTAATTGTTCAGTTTATAATTGTCATTCGGAATTCTGCTGTATTTGTCTTGGATCATAAGACATTTGCGTTTGTTTTTGCATAATGATTTGGTTTCTCCAGAAAGCTTTGGTAAAATGTGCCACTAGGAGGTACTGTTGAATTGCTCTTTCACCCCTAGATTGCATCTACACCGAGGCGTCTGGCATGAGTTATTCAATTGCCTTAATGATGAGTTATCTGAACACATGTAACCTTATATGGCTGTGATACTCGATCTCAGCCATAAAATCCTTTTGAGACGCTCTTGATGAAATCACCGAAGAAGGAGCAGAATGAGATTACACACCACTTCATGCCCCCTCTCATTAAATAAATGGCAGAACTTCAGAAACGCCGCTAAGTAGACGAGTTCGTTACATCATTTTGCCTGAAAGCAGCTCCCTCGCCCACAGTAAACACCCTTCGTCTGACATCATGACAGATTACCAGCCCTTAAATTAGCTCATGATTTTACCGACATCTGTAGAGTGTTCAGAGAGGGGGACGTTCATCAGTTTATGGTCAGAGGAGGTTTCCCAAAAGCCTGTTGTTACAAGACCACATGAGAGACCAACTGGATGCTCCTCAGAGAGACTGCAAATGTGCGCTTGCTCGGCATGAAGTCTTATGAGGGAACGCAGGAGACTGTCTAATGTCTCTTTTGCTTGGCCTGGTGTGCAGGTCATCTCAACGGCTCATTTGTAGATCTTGCATTAGAGCCGTCTGAGCGTGTGCTGGACTTACGTAATCAGGCTTCAAGTTGTGTCCCGTAGTCTAAAGTCAATGTATTTTGGATATTCTGTTGTTCGATGCAAGCGGGGTTGTGCATGTGCATTTGCACTCGAGTTGTTCACTGACGGACTGAGCAAACAAATACATCATTCTTCACATAATGAACTGATTCTGAGCAAGCATCTTGATTTTGGTTTGCGGTAATCGTGTTTCAGTGCTTGATGTTTCTGCCCATGGGGTCGAACAGAATGTGTCGTTTGTGGCGCCAAAGGTTCTGACCCATCGTGATGGATTGGTCTCACACTCACAGTGGCTTTGGGCTTTTAGGAGAAGCATTTTTAGCACAGATATGTTATTTTATATGTCTGCAGTCCGTTTATTAGGAACTGCAGCATTTTACATTTACATCCCTGTGCAAAAGTCCCCTGGCTTTCGGAGAGCCAGAAATGCAATATTTGTATAAAGCAATTAAATAATAACCTAAAAGTCACTAGATGTGGGTCCAACTACATATGACATTGTGAAATTGATCACAACAACAGTTTTGATATTCAAATTTATCTATACAGTGAATGGTACAAAAACTAATCAATTTTTTTTGGGTGTTTTCTGAGCCATTTCATCATTATTGTCTCATTGATTTAACACTGACTTTTTAAATGAAGTGGTATTAAAATCACTACATTATAATTAAAAATATGCTTTTACATACATTTACAGTATTTAAATGCTCAAATAGTTAAATTTTGTGCTGAATTGTGTTTTCAAAACTTTCACAAGAATTCAGAAGTTCCACTTACTATATCACAAAATTGTAGTGAAATTTTGAAAACACTAAATGGACAGTTTTACAACGTTTTATAAATCATAGCTCAATGCAAATTGTCCCTAACTAAATACTTTTTTTTTTTTTTTTTACATTTAACTAAAACTAAATGTATTTGTAACTAATGGATAATTGTGAAAAAATATTGTTGCAATTATTGTAGTTATAAAACAATTTAAAATGTAGCCTAGTCATTTTTTAATTATTGATTTAATTTTGTTTAATTAAGTTGTATTAAAATTACTTCATATTTAAAATATGCTTTGATATAAGTTTATTACATTATTTAAATTTAAATAAATTATCAAAAAATTATTTTGCAACCCTAAATGCCCAGAGTTAGTTTCACAACGTTTTTCCAAATTATACCCCAATGCAAATTTTGCCTGAACTGAAACCTGAACTAATGGCTTCCTGAAGACATGTGAAAAGGTGTGAAAAAATAATTTATCCTCAATATCAATGCTCGGGTCTCTGAGGGATAGAATCATTAAGAAAAGTTCAAGGATTTCGTAACAAGCTGCATGATTTGAGGCATCATTCATGTTCGGGCAGGATGAGTTATTAATGCAATACTGAGGGTGTGGGGTTTCACTCGTCAGTTTATCTCTCTTGATGTCTTTTTTTTTACAGCCATGTTTTTTCTTTATGCTCCCTCACTGCAGCGTCTGCTCTGTGTGTGTTTGTAGAAATGGACAGGAACCTGGAAGCTGGAGATACTGAGCATGTCATTCCACACCTCCACCGAGAGCTGCAGGAGGCCCAGGAGCTCGCCAACACTGGCAAACAGAAATGCCTCGAGCTGCAAGGTACGGCAGCGTACTAAACGCTCCTTCAGTAGTGATTCGGCATTAATAATCGAGGGTCATGACTGCACTGGCATTAGTGTGAATCGCTGAATGTCTTTTTCTCATCAGCACTGCTGGAGGAAGAGAGGAGAACCAACAGACAGCAGACTGAAGAATCTGCTAAACAGATCCGCTTTTTACAGAGTGAGTCATTCAACACTTACATGAAGTGTGCTTTAGTGTTTTGACTTTAATCTTCAAAAAGACTTCTAAATATAATCATCAGCATGGGTTGATCAACTTCTAAATATAATCATCAGTATGGGTTGGTCAACCAAAATGATTTTTTAAAAATAATCAATTGATTACATTTATTTAATCAACACTCAAATAAAAACTGAGTTGCATATAAACATTTAAATTAGGGCTGCCCCCTAATAGTCGACTAATCATTAGTCGACCAGAAGAGGCTTGGTCGACCAAAATTTTATTAGTCACTTAGTGGCAGAAAAAAAAAAAGTATTAGCAACTTTACATGGCCGCTCAATCTAATGTTAACAGAGAAATGTGCGATGTTCAAGTGTCTGGGTGGAGTGTGGAAGCTGAACAGTAGCTCACTGCAGGACAGGTGGCGGCGCCGGTGCGCTCACTTGATGTTAAAATACTCCCTCATGTTTGGTCATACAGATAAGAGTAATGCATCTTTAAAATCTGTGAAGACTCTACGTTTATTTGTGTGCACAAATAATGAAAGCAAACAGGATGCTACTGCCGTCTCGGTCTCTGTGAACTTGAGCGCGAAACTCTGTATATTTTTGCCTTACAGACATTAAGTAAGAGAGTGAAAGTGAAATATAATAGATAATATATAATAGAGAGTGAAATGTCTACTTTCAAATGAACCAATTCAAATGGAAAACAAATATTCTCAGATTATGTAATCCGTATGAAACATGCATACAGGCGCATCCACTACTGTGGAGATGACGAGTCAGTGTCGCAGACTTCATCTCTTAAACCGAAAACAAAGAAAGCACTAGTTTATCAAATTATTAAAATGTTAATGCAGTCTCCTTACTGTTTGTCACTGACACATTCATAATAATTTCTTCTGCCGGTGCGCTGTGGCAAGCTTTATGCGTGTGCTTGAGCGCTTATTAGGCTATGTAGTAAATTAAAGGCTCATTATAATGATTTAAATGGTTTATTAATAAACGTGCGATTAGTCGACTAATGTTTAAAATGAACGTCTACTAGTCGACCAGAAAAATCCTTAGTTGAGGGCAGCCCTAATTTAAATTGTACACAAGGCAGTTTTTATATCAACTTTTTAATTATATTATAATTATAATTAAGTTTCTGCTCCAATTCGTTGTTGAAATATAGTAGTAAAGAGGAAAAGATGATCAGTTCAGGTGCCACTTGAACTAAGGTGCTACAGCGGTCTGTTACGACACATGAAGAAGCATCAAAACAACATTTATTGTTTGAATTTTGTTATAAAAATTACAATTTGAACATTCAGACTTTGTTTCATATCAAAAGCTCAAAGCTTATTGCAATTATTGGATTCCAGACACACTACAAGTAATGTTTACTGAACTGAAAACAGCATAGACTAAAAAATCTTTGTTCGTGATTAGGGCTGAGACAATAAATCGATGCATCGCGAATAGAGAAATGATTCTGCATCGATTCTGAGATTTTCCGAAGGCATCGCGATCCTCTCTCGAATCGATTCTGAGCTTAGTTTTTAACAGCAGATGGCTTAACAACTTACAGTACTCAGCCAAACGAACAAGCTCTCTTCTTCGTGAGCATTTGAGTGTGCGGTTAAAAACTAGCCTAGAGCGCCATCTGCTGTTAAAAACTAAGCTCAGAATCGATTCGAGAGAGAATCACAATGCATTCCGATAATCTCAGAATCGATCCACGAAACACGATGCATCGATTTATTGTCCCAGCCCTATTCGTGATAATGAATTTTGATTAAAATGAGAAACCAGTGATTTCGGACCTCCAAAACCAAATATTTTCGGTTGCCATATTTGAATTTTTAGACCTAATATCACCCATTAATCATGTCAAAATCACTGTAACTCTTCTTTGTCTTCAGCTCAACTGGCGAAGCTCCAGTCTGATATGGAGGCTTTGCGTGAGCAGAGAGAGAACACCATCACCACCACCCGCGAGGAGCTCTACAGCGCCCAGGAGGAGATCCTGGTTCTCCGGCACGCCATGGAGTCCGCCACCGCCGAGCGGGAACGAGAGATCGCTGCTCTGCAGGGAGACCTGAGCGTCGTCACCGCCGAACTGGACAAATGGAGACAGACGGCAGCCAAGTATGAAGTGGAGATCAGCAACCTGCAGGCCAGCTTCCAGCTCCAGAGCCAGCACCAGGAAAGAGCTAGCCAACTTCAAGGTACTCCATTGGTTTTTGGCCATTAGGAGCCCTAGCTCAGCAGAATCGCTGTTAAACCCAGACCAGGTTCAGCGGTCAGGCCAGCCTAGCATGTCGTCATCGGCGCTCCTGCGGTGAACCTGCTGCGTCCCTGATGTGCTGTTTGGCTAGTAATGTTCCCTGTATGTCATAAATCAAGCTGACTTCAGAGGAACAATGGCTGAGATCATCACTGATGTGGTGTTTTGTGATCTCTCTCTTTTCTAGCGCCTTTGATTCCTGTTTGGAAACATTTGTTTCCTCTCACTTGCTTTGTTTGAGTTCAGTTTTTCTGAATTACTGGCCTTGAGAAGAGAACTGAGTTTGAGTTAAATGAGTAGAAAACATGCAGTACTTTTTTAAAAGATTGGGGTCAGTGAGATTTTTATTCAGCAAAGACGCATTAAATGTGACCAGAATGACATTTATAATGTTACAAAAGGTTTCTATTTCACATAAATGCTGTCCTTTTTTTTCGAGCTTTGTATTGATCTAAGAATCCTGAAAAAAAAATGTTTCCACTAAAGTTTCCCAAAAAAATATTATGCAACCATTAACAAAAAAAAATAATAATTCTTGAGCAGCAAATCGGCATATTAGAATGATTTCTGAAGAAACTTCAGGACTGGTGACACTGAGGACTGGTGTAATGATGCTGAAAATTCAGCTTTGATCACAAGAATAAATTACATTTTTCAGTATAATCGAGTAGAAAACAGCCATTTTAAATTGTAATATTTTTTCACAATTTTACTGTATTTTTAATCAAATAAATGCAGTCTTGGTGAGCTTTAAAAAATATTTAAAAATCTCACAGACCTCAAACTTTTAAATAAGTGTAAGTTCAAAGATCTCCCCATAGCAGAGTGTAATGTTTTATTGGCTATACTATCAAATACTAATATATACTAATATTTAGTTTATTCAGTGCGTTTCTCTAAGTCTGTACATTTCACAAGACTGATTTCTTCACATATTGAGAAGGCACACATGCGGTATTAATTTTACTGGGGTCTTTCTCTCCAGGCCCTCTTTAATGTGTTGTCCAGAGTCACGGAAACAGTTTTATTATCGTCCATCCTGCTGGGTTTATTTATCATTTATTGGATCCTTGTTTTGTTTTTCACAGAAAAATGTGCATAAAAGTGTTCTGACAATGCTTCTGAGATCGTTTAAAGCCATTTTAGGCTACACAGAATGTCAAGCAGTAAAATTGAACATGACAGGATAAAATTAACTCTAGTGATGTACCAAAAAAATTCCAATCTGAAACCAAAAAGTCTGGACACAGACACACTGGACAAAAGACAGAATATGAAAATGGTAAATTAGCCTGTGTTTGGAATAACGATAAATGTGATTTTGTTTTAATTTTGCGTAATCACTTAAATCAGGTGATGGTTTTAACTGGTAATATATTAAATGGTAGTGTATTGTATGGAGTGATATTGTAAAAAAATAAATATAATTGCTAATAAATACATTGAATGTTTATTATAAATTATAAATTGCATATTTTGTATGTTTTGTAATATATTTATATAACTTTTTAAATATATTTATTAAATTTCTTTATATAAATTTGTTAATTAATTTAATATATATTTAAAACTTCAATATTTTAATTTTAGTTTTTTTTTTTAAACTAAATGATATTTTAATGAGCTGAACAGTGGTTGCACTTTAATACATTATGTTATGGGGTGTGAGTATAGGGAATCAATTTTATAATTAGTTTTTCTCTCTGTTTTTGTGTGTCAGGTGAATTGGAGAAGCTTCAGGGCGAGTGCTCTGGTCTGCAGAATGAATGTGACAGTCTGCGGGCTGAGAAGACCACACTGATGCAGAAACTCCACAGACTAGAGGAAGAGCTCGACAGGTGGGTCGCATTCACACAAACAGGCTCTCAGTGGCGTTTAGATCGTTTCACACAACAAAAGTGAGTCAGGTTTTAAACATTTTTTTAAGCCGTTTTACATTGTCAGATTCCACACCTGCTCTCTTAAATGAAGAATGTTTGAATCGCCATATTGCACAACAACTGCATCTCTTTGTATTTACAAAAGACTATTTCAATGATGCTTTTTCAAATAACTGGATACCATTGTAATATTTAAGTACCTTTGTCCTGTACTTAATCTCTGCCTTAGGCAGTGTGTGTGTACGTCTCTGTGCTGACATTATCGTTTTATAAGTCACCGCTATGAGCTCATCTGCCCTAGAGCTTCACATTACTATTAGGAATGTTTTAGAACATTCTTTCCCATGACACAAATTTATTCCATTCATTCTGAAAACAGCACAATCTTTGACTTTATTTTCCGTTTTTTGTTTCGCAGCTCCAGAGAGCGGAGCACGACGTTGAGCAGCAGCCTGAATGCTCTGGAGAAATCCCAGGGCGACCTGGAGAATAAGCTGGGCTCAATACAAGACCAGCACCAACAGGACGCTAGCAAACTGAAGATCCAGCTGGCTCAAGCCGAAAGCCGCACCAGAGACCTGCAGAAAGAGGTATAAGCAACCAAAGACCACCCAGATCTTTTATTGAAAATAAGCTGCCAAAATGAACAACACATTAATTACTTTTATTCAGCAAGGATGCATTAAAATTAATCAAAAGTGACAGTGAAGACCTTTATAATAGGGCTGTCAGTTGATTTAAAATTTTAATCTAATTAATTACAGGTTGCTGCGATTAATCTAATTAATCGCAAACTAAATTTGGCTGTGAAAATACCCCAAAAAATTGTGTTAAATGTTTAGGCTACAATGGCCTAACATAAAGTATGGAACATAAAAGAAGATAATTCGAGAAAAATCTCTGTATTTTTTGTTCATGCAATGAAAGTCACTAGTGACCAAAACAGTATTCAAAATACCTTCTTTTATGTTGTGCAAAAGAAAGTAAGACATTCAGGTTTGAATAGGGCTCGAATGCGATTGTGCGCATCTCGTCAGTAAAGCCGGTTCTGTGATTAGTAGTAAATCTCCATCACTTGCTTTCAGATGGAGCAGCATTTACTACACAGAACCGTAGTTCACTGACAAGCTACGCAAAATCACGTTCATAATCGCAGATGATATAATTGCGTGATAATGAATTCGAAGAAATCGTTCTGCGATTATGAACGCGATTTTGCGTAGCTTGTCAGTGAACTACGGCTCTGTAGTAAATGCTGCTCCATCTGAAAGCACATGCGTTATTGAAAAGTACCACATTTAATAACATGTTTTTACTCCGAACTCACTTCATAACATCAGTCGAATGTTTTAAATAAATCCTTGTGTGAGATGATGTGGCTTCTTATACAGAATAAGGCACACAACATATTTCATAGTATTCTAAGCAGTGATAAAGGCTATGTCGATTAGCATTGCATTATTATATACTTTATTAGTGCGCATCTCGTCAGTAAAGCCGGTTCTGTGATTAGTAGTAAATCTCCATCACTTGCTTTCAGATGGAGCAGCATTTACTACACAGAACCGTAGTTCACTGACAAGCTACGCAAAATCACGTTCATAATCGCAGATGATATAATTGCGTGATAATGAATTCGAAGAAATCGTTCTGCGATTATGAACGCGATTTTGCGTAGCTTGTCAGTGAACTACGGCTCTGTAGTAAATGCTGCTCCATCTGAAAGCACATGCGTTATTGAAAAGTACCACATTTAATAACATGTTTTTACTCCGAACTCACTTCATAACATCAGTCGAATGTTTTAAATAAATCCTTGTGTGAGATGATGTGGCTTCTTATACAGAATAAGGCACACAACATATTTCATAGTATTCTAAGCAGTGATAAAGGCTATGTCGATTAGCATTGCATTATTATATACTTTATTATAATAAAAATTATAATAAGGAGAACTCAGATAAACCATATATTGTCGTAGTCGTGTGTTTATTAGTCACGTTGAATTAATGAAAGCAGTTAAATCTTCTGTTTATTCAGCTGCAGCGATAGGCATTTCCTGGATTATTTCTTCGGGGCATATTTGGAGTTTTAGCGCGAGAGCGCCCTCTGGCCGATTTATTTCTGATCACAGAACCGTGCTTCTCTGAAAGATACGCATGACAATCGCAGCTTCTGCCTAATCGCGATTTATTGCCTTTGTGATTTAATTTTCGATTAATCGCGCAGCCCTGGGTTTGAAACAACATGAGGGTGAGTAAATGACAGAATTTATTTATTTATTTTTGGTGAACTATCCCTTTAATGTTTTTTTTTTTTTTAAGAAAAAACTAAAACTACCAGCAGATGGCGGTAAATGTCTTTATGAATCGATTCGTTCAAACGGCTGATTCATTCAGGAATTCAGTAAACGGCTCTATAAATGGGCTACTGAATCATTTGTTCACATGATTCGTTCAAGACGCAGATTCATTCAGAAACGAAACATCGCTGTGTTGCTCGGAGATGCACAACAGTTTTGCTGTGGCTTTATAGGTAATATTTTCATTGCCAAAATTGAACAAAATGCACAATATTGTTTAAATTTTGCACAATATTAACTTCTTATTTACTAAACTGTTGTATAAAATCAGATTTGCACTCGTGTTCTTCGAGACAAAAAACAGCACTGGTGTGATATTGCTCTTTCTGCTGGTGTGATATCGCTTATCATATGATCATCAGATGCAAACTACTCACCTTTAGGTGACAACTCACTTTTTTGAGATCAAAATAGGTCACCTATGAGATTTGCTTAGATCCAATGAGAAAGTGTTTTTATGAGGGAGAGGGGAGGGGGGGTCTTACAAGGGTACTTGTGATCTTACAAGGGTAAATAAAGAACTGGGACCGGTTGCAGACTGGTCATAACTATTTATATTCAGTTATGAAAAGGTAGACCGTAGGGATGCAACGATTATAGATTTTGTTGGTACGATTATTGTCTGAGGAATAATCACGGTTTTACGATTATGACGATTTATGCATTTATATAACAAAGTTAATGAAGTAGCCTATTATTAATATACGACTAATATTAACTTTATTTGTCCCACAGGGGAAACTGTTACTAATGATGGAAATAAACTGAAATATTATCATCCATACATATTAATTAAAAAATCTTTATAATAATTCATATTTTACATGTGGCCTGAGAAAATCATGTCTATTATTTTGGCTTGTAAGATTGGAGATCACACTGCGCACGTATACAAACATTCAAGAGGACACAAACTTCTTGAGAACGCTGCCCCGCGACATTTATTAATAAAAATTGATTAAATAGCCTACTGGAGAGATGCACAGATGCAGGTAGGCAACTGTCACCTCTCTCTCTCTCTCTCACTCGATCGAATAATTAATTCAAATAGCTAAATATTATAATTAATTAATTCAAATAAATGTGATCTTACCGCACTATTTCATCTCTTTCTGATCTGAAGCGGGCAGAATGCTGACCTAACGAGCCGTAGCTTCGCCTCAGGTTTTTCTTGCCTTCATGTCGTGCATTAAAATTGTTCAATGTACAGCTAGCCATGCATTATCCCTAATGTGTTTGCTCTTTAGCAGCAGTTTTTTACGGCAATATTTAAATGACACCCTGGTCATTCTTGGTGTACGCAAAATGGTCCCACACTATCGACAAGCATTTCTCTGGTGGAAATAAAGCTTCGCTGTTTGGTCCCTTTGTCACAGTTAATCTAATGCGTGTAGTAGCCTCCGTATCTCTGATAAGCACGTCATTTTAAGCTGGTGCACCTTTAGTGTAACTTTGTTTCCATTTTGCACAAGCTGCAACAGTTCCATTCCGTGTAACAGAAACACTCGGTTTAGCAGAACCTTTACGATTAATTAACCGTGACGTTTTAAAGTGTGGTTAATCGCGAAACCGGTTAATCGCTGCATCCCTAGTAGACTGGTCTTATTTGTATTGGAAAAGAAAAACTGATAACCACTTGGCAACTGCTAGTAAGTTTTGTATAGTATTTTTCTTTGCTCTTTAACAAATTATGTCTAAAAAGTGGTGTCCTGGCTTTCTATGCCTTTTTGCACCTCCCTTTCTTCATGTTCAATACTTTTTCCCTGTGTCATTCCATTTTATTACACATAAATTAATTTCTGAACTTATTTGTTTTGTTTTCTTTGTATGTATGGATTACTTGCGTTGTTACCGACATCTAGTGAAAATTTAATGTCAACAGCACCTTTAGAAATATATTTACTGAGAAAAATGGTGATGTGTTCAATACTTATTTTACCCGCTGTATCTTTTAAAAAAAAATTCCATGTGGAGCATGCCCCCGGTTCTCACCTTTTTTTCCCCACTTGCCTGTTTGCATCTCTGTATGATATAAATATGAGACAAAAACTCATACAGGGGCATATTTTTGCCCCAATCTTGAATTTTTAGGGCATTACTGCATTTATGGAGTTGTTTCCCTGCATTACATTTGCCAACAGCCAACTGTATGAAATGTAAGATAACGTACAGGTCTGGGGGAGAGGCCAGTGCGTTAACTGCGTTAAAATATTTGAATCGCGTAATTTTTTCATAACTAATTAATTAACGCGTTAAACTGACAGCCCTACTTTATAATGTTGCAAAAGATTTCTATTTCAAATAAACGTTCTTGTGAATTATTTTTTTATTCATCAAAGAATCCTGAAAAACAAAATCCCCAAACAAATATAAAGCAGCACAACTGATTTCAACTGCAGAAATGTTTCTTGAGCAGCAAATCAGCATATTAGTATGATTTCTGAAGGATTATGTGACACTGAAAACTGGAGTAATGATGCTGAAAATTCAGCTTTGCGTCACAGAATTAAATTACATTTTGAAATATATTTACATAGAAAGCAGTTGTTTTAAATTGTAATAATATTTCACAATATTAGTGATTTTACTGTATTTTTAATCAAATAAATGCAACCTTGGTGAGCAGATGAGGCTACTTTCAAAAACATTAAAAAATCTTACAGACCCCCAGTTTTTTTTTTTTTTTTGTATTCAATGATTGCATAATCTCTCTGTTTCTCTCCAGTACGACGACACTCAGAATCTGCTCTCAGATCTGCGGCAGCGGTATGAGCAGACGGAGCAGGAGAAATACTCCATCAACGACGAGCTGGAACAGAGCAAGGTCAACCTCAAGCTCCTGCAGGAGAAAGGCAGCAGTGTGAGTCTCACAACCCACACAGTTCATTTGCAAAGCACCAAAAAACTCCAACACATTGCTTTTAAGCCAGCATTAAGATCTTACTCCAGTTAATTAGCTATCATCCACATTACGCCATTTATCGCGGTTGTCAGCAATCAGTGATAGATCTTACTTCACTGTTTTACACGGCTCTGGAAAACACAGCAGGACACACATATACGGCACGATTTTGTGAGTCGTTAGCAAAAATTATTTGCAATTCAACATTTGTAGGCATCATAGGTGTATTCAAATGTTCTGTAATACTCTAAAAAGCTGTAGTTAAAATACCCAATAGGTTTCATTGAATATTATTATTGTTTAGCAGCCCATATTGAGTATATATTCATTAACCCCTCAAAGACTTCAGATTTTTCACTTTCAGGTTCTCCTTTTTTTCATCACACGTTTTACAATTTATTCTTCATTTTTGGCCAGTTGTACACTTTAGTTTTTTGAATTTGCTACACAAAACCGTAGTTATCACCTTAATCTCCCACAATTCCCTCAGTACAATCCCTTGCACACTGCTGATTGGAGTCACAATCACAAACAGATAAATTGTAGATTAATTGTTCTTTAGTTGAATACAAATAACCAGTTTATTGTTTGCTGTGATTTATTAATGCCTTGAACACTGTCCTCGTTCCTGATGTCCTGCTTCTAGATGTTCAAATGTGTTTGTGGTTCTGGGGCGTTTGATATTTTTGTTTGTATTGATTTATGGACAGTCCCTTCCACCGCACCCCTTTATTTGGCTGTTTTTGTTTGTATACGTTTGTATGTTTGTTGTAGTTGTTCGACTCCCCCAGCCTGATTTCCGTTGAATAGTTTGAAGATTGATTTTTTGTTTTATTTGTAATATCCCTTCCCTCCTCTAGCCATCCATATTGCAGCCTGTCCAAGCCATTTTCATCGGTCTATTCCTGGCTTTGCTGTATTGGTGCTTCGGCCAGTTGTGGTAGAAAGGTACACACGCTCCTGTTGATTCTGTTTGTGTGTCTTCTGTATATCCACCTCTGTATATATCATCACATATATACGACCTGTGCATGGCAAACTCTCATCCGTCATCTCTGCACCCGCTTCGCCCCAAAATCCCTTTTCGGGGGTTGGCTCACGTGGGAACTCTTAACCAATTCCTCGTCCAGAATCACCAATTACTAACCAAACACATTAACTGTCTTGTCTTGCTTGGATCGGCATATAAATCTCTGCATTCGGGGATTTTGGATGCTTTTTCATTTTTTGGGGCATTTTGGTCATCATGTCATCTTTCGTTTGCTGTTCTTCTTTACCTTTATAAATTTAAAGGCATATTTCATCCAAATATGAACATTCTGTCATCATCTACTCACCCTAATGTTGTTTCAAACCTGTGTGACTTGCTATCATTCAAAAGAAGAGGTTTTAATAAATGTTCATGCTGCTCATTTCCATGCAGTGAAGGAATAAAGAGATCAGCAGCTGACAAACTGTGAAAATAACTAAGCAGCACATTGACAGTCCATATGACACGTGCATTATATTCCAAGTCGAACAATATAATTTTGAACAGAAACAGAAAATTTAAGCCAATAATTTCTGAAAATCATCCCTTTTTGTTTTAGCTTCCTAAAACAAAAAGGGATGCTTTTTCATATTCAAACGTAATGCATTAGGACAATTTTTGTCATTAGTGGCACTAAATGCCATTGGTTCTTACTCGCCATATAGACTACTTATTCCCTTTTTGTAAGATGAGTTTTTTTCTGTTTTTATATGGATTTCTGTATTTCCTGACCTGAAATATGAGCCATGTAGATTGCATAAATCAGAGGGAAAAAATTGCTGCATTTGCAAATTTTATGCCAAAATAAAATTTCTAGTTTAAGCACAAAAATATAAAAAACATAATATTTTTATTATAACACTAATAATAGAAATATTATATAATTTTATTATAATTTTACTTTTTGTCCATAAATTTAAATTGTAATTATTTTTAATTATAAAGAATTTAATTATAATTCAATACTTTTTTACAGTACAATATTACTAATTCAATAATGTATTTAGTGATTTAATTTTCATATTTTAAAAGAAAAATATTTTATTATAATATAATTATTATTATTATATAATAATAATAAGTATCACAATATATTAAAGATTAAATATAAATATTATTATCTTAATTATTATTATTATTATATTTTTATAGATTGACAGCCCTTGGTCACTGTTCACTTTTATACAGGAAAAAAAAAGCAGCATGAATATTCTGGTAAAATGCTTAAAACTTAGAGTCATACAGGTTTGAAACAACACAAGGGAGCAAATGATGTCCAACTTGTCATTTTTGAGTGATCTGTTCCTTTAAACGCAGCCTTTCTTTCTTTGGGTTTGAAGAAAGACGGTTGTGTTGGCTTTTATTTGCTTTATAACTCCTGTGAGGTAACTGGTTCTCCCAGTTTTACTTAAATATTAGCTTTTCCTGTCTTCTCCCTCTTTCTCTCCGTTTCTCGGTGTATTTCTCTCGTAACTCTTTGTCTCTTACTATCACCCAGGTCTCTCTCTGTCTCTTTAGCTCCAGTCTCCAGTGCTTCTGTCCTGGTTGCTCTGGTGCATCTAAAATAACGACCTTTATTAATTGCATTGCTGTCGTTTCAGAGCGGTTGGATGCCCTGGATGCCGGTGATTGCCGCAGTGGTCCTTGTGACCGCAGTGGTGCTTTATCCCAACTTGTCCAAGAGCTCCTCCTGAGAACCAATCAGAACACTCGTCGTCTCTACCACTTCCTGTCCCCAGCACGGCCCTCTGTCCAATCCCAGCGTTCGGTCTAAACCTGAACATAATACCTCTCGTTTTGACAATACAGCCCCAATGTCTGTGTAAAATGCAAATGTATATAGTATAGAAAGAAAGAGGGAATAAAGTTGTAACGCATATTATAGAATAAATAATCTATCAGCATTTTTGTCACTTGGATGGGAATTTGGATTATTAAAATGGCCTAAACTAGGTCTACTGTTTCGTTTTCTTGAATGGGTACCACGTTTTCTGTTAGCAAGTTTTTGTTTCTTGGACTCTTCTTGTGGTTTGCCATCTTAGATGTGGTAATCCAACTAGATGTACAGCCAAATGAGGATCTGAACTCTAGGGCACAGAGGGGAGAAGTGCCTACTTTAAATACTACTAGGACTAGTTCACATTGAAGTGCCACTCATGCAGCGTCTCATCGATTCGAATGGAAAAAAGTCTAAATTTCACGTCGTCTGTGCTGTTATTGTGTGTTCGAGCCGACATGCTTCTAGCACAGTGATGTCGTTGTTCTCTATGGCTGTTTCTCTTGTATCATGTATTATAAGCAAATGTTCACGTCAGAGACACTACAAGTATCTAGGTGGTTTTGAAATTCAACGTTAGGATTGCGGTCAGCGTCAAACAGATGGAGCGTTGACCTAAAAAAAAAACAAAAAAAACAAATGTTGTAGCTTTTTACCAACACACTGTCCTGCTGTTGGGACTGAGATGGAGCACTTTGAGTTTCTCAAAGTCGTTAAAACTCCTACAGTACCTCCTGGAAAAGGCTCTGGGATTTTGCTGCCTTACCTGTAACATAGGTTTCTTCTTACAGAATGAAATTGGATGCAAAGGCTTTAAAATGAATGGGATAAATGGGTGGAACTGTCACAGATCCGCTCTCGTGAAGCACAGAAATAGGTGAGAGTGAAATATTTGGAGGGTGAATGGGTTGTTTAAATGTGGATGTGCAAGCTGCTTTGAGACTGCAGGAAGACGAATTAACCAATGATGTGTTTGGTGTGTGGTTCACATTTGTCTGCTGTGCTGTAAATAAACAGTCGTGGAGCAAAAAGCCGAGCTCATCTGGTTCAAGGTGTCGCGGACTTTGTTTTTGCATCTTTTTTGTTTCACTGGAAAGACATACTGCAACAAAAATCCATCGAACATGTCGACATGGATTTGACCATGAATGCAAAAAAGCAAAGCTTGTAGCACAGAAAGGATAGCTTTAAACAGATCTCTTGCATCGAAAGCAGCGTTTTTTTGTTTTTTTAAACAGCATGATGGACTTTTTATTTCTAAAGTCCACTTGGAACATCGTCCTTCACAGGCTGTTTGTAAATATGTATGTATGAATGTTTGTGTGTAAATATGTTATAGTCACAAAATAAACATTGGATATAAATGATATCGGTCACATCTAATTTGCTGCTGAAGCCAGTTTTTAGGATATGATGCGTTGGCCTTTTCTTATCCTTTTAATTGGGATACCAGTTCAAGTTCGGTTTAGTTTAGTTTTATAGATGCATTTGTACCTTTAATTTGGCTTAAACACGTGCAGTTTTTGACCAAGCGGTTTTTTTTTTAAATTGCAAATTAAAGTTTTGGAACTCGTTAACGATAACAACAAACATTAGAACTAAGGAAAAGATGCAAACGCTGATGTGAATTTAAACGGGTCGTAGCTGAACCTATCAAGGCTGGTTTTTGTAAGCATAAAGTTTGCATTTTTGTTTCTTCATTCTCTGTCAGTTCATAGTGGTGCAATAAAGTTTCTCACAAGTTGTTTTAAGTTGAAAATCAAAGCTAAACCTGGGCCTTTGGGAAAAGATCTCTTTAAACTGGTCACCAACTACCAACCAAGTCAGTTCAGTACAGCACACTGCCTGTATATATTTTTTATTCGTAAATATTGAGTTTTTTTTTTTTCGTCTTGAACTGAGAGAGCTCGGAATTACACTTTTGTTTTAAACATCAAAGATAGTTCATTGTCAAAATTCTATTTTGTAAAGACAGAGTTTCTGGAATACAGAAAGGGTATTTGCACTAACAAGTGTGATGTGCATGACTTCAATAAAACAACTTCACTTTACTTGACTAGTTTGATTCTTTTTGGTCAACACCTATTTCATGTATTTTTAGCTATATCAGCAAATAAAATGTTTTTTTTTCCTGTATGGGTTTATCAAAACTCACTAATAATTAGTATTTTTTAAGGGGCAAACGTTCACAAACGTAAGAGCGATTGCGCCATTTCTAACTTGTATGTGCGTGGGTTCCGGTTTCATTACAGTAATTTTAGCTGTACAAAAACAGTCTGTTATGCTGCTTGACATGGTATTTTATATTATTTTAATTACCAATCATAATCCTAAACACATTAATTTTAGCGCAAATAGTTTAAACGTTTACTGTACTTAGTTTTCTCTAGATATTTACCATAGCAGCTAATGAACCAGATGTCTCGTATATTCACAGAAAACTGCTTAATGTTGTAAAATAAGGTGAATAGACCCCTCAATTCTTGAAACTGACACAAAACTTGTTAAATTATGATGTTTTCACCTTAAATGTTGTTTGTAGAAATGAACACAAGATGGCAGCCCTTACAAGATTTTTTTAGAAGCTGTTATGTTTCTGTTTTCATGTGCATTATGAAGCGTCTTTGGCATTTACAAGGCCATACATTTGTTCTCAGGACAAGATTATAAGTGTTCCTTTCTCAAGCACATCTCCTTGATCTTTATTTCCAGTAAGGTGTGGAATGTCTCGAATACCTTTGCTGAATTGTTCTTTTGTCTGGAAATCAGGACAGATCTGTAAACTTGAGATTCCATGTTTCCTGCAGCGGTTAGAACCACATTCTCATGGAAGCCTGATAGAATGTCAAGCTGTCTGCACCCACTGCCAAAGCTCATCGACTCCTCTCTGACACACCCAGGGGCCCTTGGGGGCCTCGCTTTGACATGACTGTGACGTGGGCGTGTAACCGGGCCTGACTCAGGACATCAGCGATGATAGGAAGTTCCCCGCCCCGTCTGATAACAGTAGACACACCCCTGCTGAGATTTATGCAACATCACTTTCGTATCAGCACTGAAGCAAACTCAAATCGCAGGCTTTCTGTTCTCGAGTTCAATTTAATACTATACCGTTGCTCATACAACGGAACATGCGTGAACAGGGTCTATAAATATGTATAATTTAGTCATAGTGAAACAACAGATATATATGTATATATATATATATACATATACTGTATATACACACAATTTTGGAGAATTGAAGCTGCTTAATATTAAAATGTAATCATGTTTTGAGATGATGGGGGGGGGGCAAGTTAAAGACAGGCTATGCATGTGCATCTGATATAAAATCATGCATTGAATAAATGTAATGAAATAATCAGCTATCAAACAGGATATAAATGGGAAGAAATAAAACATATCAGTTTACTATGATACAAAAAGAAAATTAAATGCATGCCTTTTATGATAAATTTGTATTTTCTCTTTCATTAGACGGTTAGCTAACTGTGCCAGGAACATATTAAAGGTTATTTTGGTTGCACAAGAAGAAATTTCTTTTAAAAATCCTAAATGATTAACTGGAAAACACATTAAAAGTATTGCTCAAAAGTTCTGGCAATCTCAGAATTAAAGCGGTACAGTAAAACATACAGATTAATTGTTAAATATGTGCCCTTCAGACAGAAAATGTGCCTCTGATTCCATTACAATGAATAGTGCTGATCTCTAACAGCGACATCCTGATGATTCAGATGCACCTGGAGATGTGATGCCAGCACTATCAAAGATCTCATGCAATCTGCTTTACCAACAGCACGTCATCCTACAGATGAGTCGGGCCGTGCCTGAGGGCCTCAGTTTGGTGCAGCCTGTGGGTTTGAGTCCAGACAGACAGACAGACAAAGGCTGTAATCTGTGCTTCAGACACATTACTCGGCTCAGAAAGGTGAGAGATTGTGACGAGACAATGTTTCTCAACCGACTGATGCATCATCACCGTCACCGAGGTTAAAAAATAACAAAAAGCCAAGACAAATGATTACAGGACAGACTTTTGCAGCGAACACAACTCATATTTACTTCATGACATTTAAAAATCTCTTTCAGTCTTTATTTAAAGGAATAGCTCACCAAAAAATGACACTTGTGTCAAATGTACTTACCTTCGGGCCATCCGATTTAGAGTTTATTTCTTCTTCAGATTTACAGGAATGTAGCATCACATCACTTGCTTAGCAATGGATGCTCTGCAGTGAATGGGTGCCGTCAGAATGAGAGTCCAAACAGCTGATAAAAACATCACAATAATCCACAAGTAATCCACACCACTCCAGTCCATCACATAACATCTTGTGAAGCCAAAAGCTGCGTGTTTGTAAGAAACAAATCCATCAAGACGTTTTTTAACTTCAAACTGTTGCATGGCTAAAATATGAGTCCATGATCCATAATAACGCTTTTCACTGGAGGAATCAATATTATGGATTATGGACTGGTATTTTGGCCAGATGCGATGGTTTGAAGTTAAAAACATCTTAATGATGGATATGTTTCTTCCAAACACGCAGCTTTTGTCTTCTCCAGATGTTAACTGATGGACTGGAGTGGTGTGGATTATTGTGATGTTTTTATCAGATGTTTGGACTCTCATTCTGACGGCACCCATTCACTGCAGAGCATCCGTTGGTGAGCAAGTGATGCAATGCTACATTTCTCCAAATCTGTTCCCATGATGAAACAAACTCATCTACATCTTGGATGGCCTGAGGGTTTTGACTTTTGGGTGAACTGTTCCTTTAAGTGTTTGGCTTTGTTTCGAATGCTTCTCAAACAGAAGAGCTCAGCTGCTGTCATATCACAGATGTGCGTCTTTCTTTTCATTTGTAAGAGTGTGATGCAATGTTGATCCACCCTGGTAACTAATGCTGATCATGTACTGTATGCTGCATGGGAAACGTTGGGGATGGCAGCGCTGCATGGAATAATAGCCGCTGTTGATACTGGAGTGAATATTAAGACTCCTGTCAGCAAAGGTGGGAAGCCGTGCAGGATATGAGGGCGAGGGGAAAGGCGTGTATAATGAAAACGTCTGGATACGTCTGTTATGATTGTAAAGTGCTGCTGACACCTTCCCAGAGACAAAACAAAGCCGTCAGTGTGGCGTTCAGGAGCTTGCCAAACGTGTGGGAAACATTTGTCTGGCGAATCATAAAAGTGTCTGAAGGCAGAAGAAAGTGTCCATTACAGAGATGCATCTGAAATCTGTTAGACGGCCCTGTGTGGCTTTTATCAAACAAGCAGAAAGTGTTTGGGGGCCTTTTGTGGAGAACATTTTTGCAATCAGTACACATTTACACGATTATCTACTCTAGATTGCAATGAAAATTACTGGAGAACACACACACACAAAAGTAATCTAATCATTTCGCTTAATATTTCTTATTATTTATGTAGAAACCCAGTTAATAAAGCATAGAACAAATGAAAGTTTAAAACACAACATAAAAAGTTCAGGACAGGTTTAAGAACATGTCTTCAGTGTATGATGCTTTATATACTTTGCATATAAAATAATACTATCTAGATTTATTTATAACTTTTACTTTATATTTTTAAATATGCTTGTTTAATTTTTCCTTTACTTATATTTGTTTTTAGCAGTTATCATACTTTCCGTACCCACTGTATATATATATATATATATATATGTGTAAATAATCACAAAAAAATCACATGGTAGGAAAAAACTAACACAGTACAAAGATAATAGTAAACAAAAAGCTTTTAATGCTTTAAATAAAAAACATAAAAAAACAATAATAAACATGCAGATTTTTATTTTCTTTTAATTTTATCATAATTTTTTTAATTATTGTATTATTGTTTTACAGAACACAAGCAACATTTAATCGAAAAGAAATGTATAAATAATATAAAATGTTATATACAATTGTAAATATAGCCAATATCTCCTATTTGACTTTTTATTTATCTTTATGTTGATGTTTTTATTAAATAGTATTTTTTATTCTCTTACCATATCCTTTCTTGTAATTTCTTGATCGTTTGGAGCTAACCGGACAGAGAAGGGCTGTAGCGTGCTGTGCTGTAGAAAGGCAGGTTAGGTCTGATGCTGCGCAGGTGGCGTCACGCGCTTGCCGTATATAACAGCGCGCGCAGGCGCGTCGCGAGAGAGAAACAGTTCGGAATACAGAGCGCACGAGCGCAGACACGCGAGACACATCCAGAGTTATTAACCACACAACACACGAGTATTAAATCATCATGCCGGCCACAGAGAAGGACCTGGCGGACGACGCGCCGTGGAAGAAGATCCAGCAGAACACGTTCACTCGCTGGTGTAACGAGCACCTGAAGAGCGTCAACAAGCCGCCGCCGCGCCGTGGAAGAAGATCCAGCAGAACACGTTCACTCGCTGGTGTAACGAGCACCTGAAGAGCGTCAACAAACGCGTCGCGGACCTGCAGCTGGACCTGAGCGACGGACTGCGACTCATCTCGCTGCTCGAGGTGCTCAGCCAGAAGAAGATGTACAGAAAATATCACGCCAGACCCACCTTCAGACAGATGAAGCTGGAGAACGTGTCCGTGGCGCTCGAGTTTCTGGACAGAGAGAATATAAAGCTCGTGTCCATCGGTGAGTTCAGCTGCTTTTGCTTGCTAGTCCTGAATAAAAGTTGAGTCAAAGTGTCAATAATACACGTTTAACCCTTTTGCTGTGGGAGTACCCTATCATTGTGTCGTGCTAGTAATTTGTATTAATGTACCTTGGTATATTTAGTGTGAACTCGGGTTCAGTAAATTGGGGCACTTTTGCCTTTGAGGTGACTGGGAAAGTGGCTCAATTACCATAAATGAACCCTATATGTGACCCTGGACCACAAAACCAGTCATTAGGGTCCGTTTTGTGAATTTGAGATTTATGCATCTTATGCAAAGCTGAATAAATAAGCTTTCCATTGATGTATGGTTTGTTAGGATAGGACAATATTTGGCTGAGAT